GCACATGCATGCACACACACACAAACGTATATATATATATATATATATATACATATATATGTATATATATATAATATATAAACATGTATATACAAACTATAAACATGTATATAAATATTTTTATGTATCTGCTATAGATATATTTAGCATACATAGTATCAAGACACTCACCAGGCACAGAATGAGCTAGTGGTGGTATCAAAGTTACGAATGCATATTTTTGATGAAAGAATGCTTTTACGTACCTAGAGTAAATGGGATGGCAAACCAGCATAATCCTCCTAGGATGTAACCCTTGTAGGAGGCCTGGGGTGTAGCACTGATCGCACTCTGCCAGTATGATTGGTCGACGAATACCGTGCCTGGACATATCAATGGTAATAGGAAATGAGTGCTTCCCCCGATTGTACGTCTGCCAATATATTTTATGTGCGTAATAAAGCACATTTTGCTCTCCCCGGGTTAAGTTCATGTGCCTGTGTAATTAGGTGATCAATAATAGAGATATAGACATTGTTGCACGCTGATGTAACAGGCCGAAAAATCGTACATCAGGTCAGGATATCTTACCGAAGTTGCCGATGATGTTGATCACTCCGAAGACTAGACCGCCCTTACTCATCATAGTCAAGTATGATCCATCCATGTTATCTACAACTGGTTCCACCTCAGATACCGCTTGAAGAGTCTCCCATACAGCATCAGAGGAACCCAAGTCGTCCGAGAAAGCATACACGTACACGGAGAACACGCACAAACTGTGATGAGAGAAAATGATTGAATATAGGTTAGGCGAAGTGGCTGACAGGGTCATGAGCCGTGTGGACGTTGTACCAAGCGAGCACGTGTATACATACATAAGATTAAGAACCTTGTCACAACTCTGGAGTCGAGCACTAATATCGCGCATGACAGAGGATGGAAAGTAAACCATATGCATGTACATGGTTTTTTGTGTGTGGTGCTTTTGAATCCCTCGTAAGCGCAACCGTGTGCTAGCATAGCTATCCTTGAAAAGGACACATTGCCAATAGCTGTGCGAATTCAGGCCATCTGAAGTTCCAAAAGAAATATAAGAAGAACATATAGATACCTTAAGAGGATTACAACAGTGTTAAAGTAAGAGGCTATGAATGTGGCTTTGAGACCACCGGCCAGCGTGTAACAGATGTAGCCCAGAGGAATCAGGAACGACGCCAGGTCGACATTCATGCCGGTGAGAGCTGTCACAGATGCCGAGCCACCGAGGATCAACATCGATGTGACAATGATGTTGGTCAGCAATCCAAAGCAGAGGAACACAATATGCGCTGTCTTGCCCCATCGCGCATTCACAATCTCGAGGAATGTGTGCGAAGTGGGTGCTCGCCTCTTCACTTGGACTGCCATAATGGCGAACAGAATCACCTGTACTGTGGCCCCGGCGGCGTACCAGAAGGGTCCAGAGATTCCGTATTGATAGGCAACGGATGACGATTGCAAAAGTGTGGCGGCTGTGGAGATTAAGTTTTGGTAATAGTGAGCTAAGTATAAAGTATAAACGTCAGATATGCAAAGTTATTAGTGGCACGCTTTCAAGGGGATCCAACACACTTGCTATCTACATATCAAGTCAGGGGTATTCAGTTATGTATGGCTAGAAACATACTCTTGCGATAGATTAAAAACATACCCCAGGTCCATTGCGACACAAGCACGGAAGCTGTCAATCCGATGCCCACAGAGCGACCGGCTGTGTTGAACTGTTCTGAGGTCATTTCTGTACCCAAGAACTTCTTATCCAAATACACAAGGAACAGCGTGAAGAGTCCGAAAGCCACTCCGAAACCGAGGACAATGGCGTATCCCACCCATAAGGGCAGGGGTGATTCACCACTGGTGAAGAACGTTTCCTGGCATGCATACTCCTCAAAGCACCAATAGTTGCGGAACTGAACGAATCCCGCGGGGCAATCGAACCCACAGTCGGTCGTCAACGTACTAACATCAATTGTCATGTTTTATGGTTTTTGTCTCTAAGAGAACAGTTCAATTTTAACACTCTCGTATGTGAACATACGTGTTGTGGTTTCATTCGGCCTTCCCATAGATATTATATCGTAGTGAAATCCTATTTTGAGATATTAACATGCGTGTGTAAAGAACTTCAAGATATCTGACGCTATGTCCAAAATCAAAGATATTCAGCAGTCATCAGAGTGACTGCGTGTGTGCTACTCCACTGATTTTTTTCACGATGATTCTTCTCGCCATGATCCTAATCACCTCACAAATTTATCTATTCTCGCTTTTCCATAGCTTTCTGAAAAATTGAGCACTTTTTTATCTAAATATATTTTAGCCTCACACACGCACCGTGACAGAAGGTACAGCTGGTCTGGAGTCCATGTGATTACAGTGATGAACAGCCGTCCTGAATTCAGAATTGACCTCAAAACATCATTCTATTAAGAAAAGTAAATAAAAAGCTGGTATGACATTCAACATACTCTGTATCTCAAATCACAATGATTCCTCACAAGTCACCAATCATGAGACATGGACAGTATTAAAAAAGCTATTTACTGTTTTCAGCAGACCATAAAAATCAAAATATGCCTCATCTTTCAGTCTTTCTCTAAAATAACAAAAATTTGTGAATCACACTTGTGATATTATTGGATATGAGGCATGTGATGAAATAAGTTCACTCCGTGCATCTGCGTTTTATTCTGCGAGACCACGTCACAATGTAGTCACTAGTCTGTGAGTTGACTGAATAGAGTGAATACCAGCCATGGATTCCTGGAACAACACTCAACAGTGAAAGTTTCTTTTTGTTTGTTCTTTTAGTGAACACCTGTCATATCGCAAGTTCGCAGCTCACAAGTAGTGCCACACTGCCACCACACAAGAGAGAAGTTTGAGAGTGACAAGTCCTCACAAGTCACAAGTCACAAGTCATGAAGTCACAACTGTCATAATTGGGTTTTTTTTAAATACATTTTTCTGTATCTGGACTTTTGGAGTGTCTGGGCTCTGGAGAGATATGGCGTCACTGGACCTCCCAGAGAGTCAGGCCTGTGGGGGCTCAAAAATATGGACGCTTGTTCTATTTTCAGAAGGCTATGGGACCCTTCACAATTTCACATACTTTTTGTTTTGTTTTTTGTTTTTGTTTTAAAATAAATAAAAACTAAAAACAAAAATACTTATCTGACAAAACTGTCATTTACATATTTACGTAAATACGCTATGTGGGTAAATTACGTATCCCATTTTTTCTTCTTCTAGTTTTTGGGATCCCCATGACCCCAATATCGGTATCATATTACTAAAATTTGCGATTGACAGATTTTAAAAATGGTGTTTTCAAGTTTCAACACGGCTATTTTTGGTATTTATTTATTTACAGCTAAATCTAAAATCATCACCCCAAAATGCGATATATTGGCAAATTCCATCTGTTTTACTCAGTTGAATCAGTCCATATATTTACAGGGTTTTTTGGGGGGTGCCATTTTATGCCAAGTTAGTAGGCCAGTTTAGGGTTTATTACATATAAAATACGTAAGATTTATCTATATACGTATTTCTTAAAATAATACGACATTTCCCCACTCCGTCTCTCTCTGGGTCTGGCGACTGGCTGTTCTGCCCACCCCAGCAGGGGCCCAGTCGCCCAGACAGCCCCAGAGTTCCAGAATCCAGACCAGTCTGATCAGAGTTGAAGAGTTCGGAGTTCAGAGTTCAGAATTCAGACTTTAGAAGACTGAAGTTCAGACTTCAGAGTCATCAGAACTCAGGAATCATCAGGAGTTCAGGACTCAGGCGAGATCAAAATCCTTATATCCTCAGAGGAATGTCTTTATACGGCACTGGTGACAATAAAATTTTCAACCACCTCAGGCCCAGTTCCCTACCAGTCTCATACTTATACTTTTTCGAGTTTACTTTGCTTTTAAGATGTAATGCACCATAGCGTGATTTTATTGCACTTGTTGTATTAGTTATTTGTCGGCCTCAGAGGAGAGGTCGACGTATGTTAGACACGAATATTGTCAACTGTAAAACCATGAGCGAATCCGAAGCAATAGCTAAGACAGAGGACGTCCATATACATGTGTCTAACTGCTAACATATGTCAAGCCCTTAAGACCGACAAAGACCTAACATAAGTGCAACAAATGGGTTGTATCCGCGCTACAATATTTAACATTTAAGTCTAACGCTTTCAGCCGACAGATAAAAAACAAACCAGCAGACAACAAACACATCTCACAAGTGCTTAATATCACGCTAATTACATTAAATACACCTATATTTAAAAGTATGAGACTGGTAGGAAACTGGGCCTGAGGTGGTTAGTAATTTTATTGTCACTAGTGCCATATAAAGACATTCGCCCTCGGCCTCAGGCCTCAGTCCTCATCAGTCCTCATGACTCCTCACTCCTCATCAGTCTCACCCATTGAAGTTTGAACTTGGTGCCATCAGCCATGTGCGATATTTTGGGAATTTAGACAACCACGAAGACACCTGATCTCGTTGCATATTAAACGTTTTGAAAGACCATATATCGTATATCATAGAAACGACCAATATATTGTACGTTTTTAAGTTCAATGTTTACATGGTTTGGTTCCGTGGTTTCTACGTGGTGTTTGGATTAAATTGGAGCCCGTTTAGAGGTACAATGTATGTATATAAATAAGACCTATTTCATAATATAGTCCTATCGTCTGATAGTGGGTCATACCCTTGAACAGCCAAAACACCCTATTTGTTTTTTAAAAACAAACATAATAAAAAACATAAACACCCACACACAGGCCACAGGGCCACTCCTGTGCTGGGCTCCTGGGAGTCCTGGCTGTCCATGGACATGGAGTCCACGTCACACTTCCCATCAGATTTTGCCAGCATCAGATATTAATACTTTTATTCGGATCACATCAATTAAATTTATATAGCCCTCTAAAAATAAATAAGAAGACAATCAAATATTTTTATGTAAAAAATACTGCAAATACTGTCTTTAGAATTTAGAAGTTTCCGCGTGCTCTTCTTGCTGTTGTTTTGAGGGTACATAAAATATTTGCTATTTACTTATTTATTTATTTTTAAAAAACCAAACAATTTTATAAAAATGTTTTAGTAGAGAGGAGGCTATGATTTTCGACATCATTGACATTTGACAATGACTGTGCACTGCAGTCTGCAGTTTCTGCACTCTCGGCACTCTGCACTCTGCACTCTGCAAGGTCTGCAAGTTTTCGTTTCGCAGCATGCAGGCTGCAGGAGTGCAGGTCTGCGGAGTGCAGGGCGTGCAGGCTGCTAACTGTATCAGAGCACAATGGCATCATACATGTTCAAAAATAAATACCGTCGCGTAAAACTATAGCCCTCTTATAATTAAATCAAAATCGTCATCCACTAATCTGAGGGCTGTTCAAATATTTACGTCATATCAGGGGGGAAGGGGAGGACTGTGGCTCATTGTAAGTTCAGGCTTAATTTAGATTGGTGCAGGCTTTGGCAACTGTAGAACTAGACTGTCACGCCGACAATTTCAATTCGCACGGTTTTATGTGCGTTCAAAATGTTGTCTTATGTGCCTAAAATAGGAAATAGTTTTTAATAAAAAGTCAACACTCGTTCTTTTTTATAATGAATATAATGTTCAATTTAGGAGGCTATGTCTATAATCATTAAAAATCGTAGCCTTTTTGGGGGGGTTTTTACAAAAAAGAGTACAACACTGACAAAAATCAAAATATGTAAGTAAAAATTGTTTTTAAAAATAAAACGAGGTTCCAAGCATTATATAGCATTCTTTCAGCTTTTCAGAGTTAGTTGCGAAGGCCAAACTATTTTAAATATTAAAGGCGCCACGATTCTCAATCTCAGGGCTCAGGCACCAATTCCAAAGTGATAAGACCGTTGCACAGACCACACTCACCACAGTTGCAGTGATGACTGATGAGACTTGTGAGACAGACTTCTATACGGGTCTTACTTTTTGTGAAACAAATTACGTTTTACGTTAACGCTTGGTATTATTACGTTTTACGTTAACGCTTAGTTTTGAAACCGGTTTCCCGTTTTCAAGTAGCATACTGTGAGCCAATTCTAAAAACCAATTTTGCTTAGATCTACCTTATATAGCCCAATTAATAGCTGATATGTTTTGACAGAAGAAAATCTGTCCAACAACTATTTACAATTCAACAAATATTTTGGTGAAATATAGTTGGCAGGTTATGCCAAATGAGACCCCTATAACGTATGAAAACGTAGTATGTTTTACGTTAACGCATCGATTTGAAAGCGTTTACGTTACGATTTACAAATAGAAGATTGTTGTGAGAGTGAGAGACTGGCCCTGGGGAATCTCCTGCAAGAGTAAGAGGCACTGGAATACATATTTACTGTTTTTCATTGGCCGTGTTCGATAAATTATATCCCTCACGAATTCTCATTTCATCTAATACTATGTACTAGTAATAGAGTACGATGTTACTCCACACTGTCTACAGTCTACTGGCATGCATAATCAATAACCATCTAATGATTCTACAATCAGTGTCGTATTTGTTTCAACAAGAAACAATGTGTTGTTGTTTTTTAAACAAATACATAATGTTGTTTTCTCTTAAAAAAGGAGGCTATGATACTGTATTTATAAATAGTATAGTAAATACAGATAAATAGTGTAAATATGAGTCTTTGAGATAAATTTTACATTTCAGAATTCTCTCTTCGTTTTAAATAATAATACTGTAAATATAAATGCATCAGATTATTTTTTATTTTAAAAACTCCCCGTACATAACAACCGAGCAGAGAGCCAGAGATATTCTGCCGCTCTGACCTCATGTTGCATATCCACATTTGCCTTTTGGTCAGTATTGAACTATTAAGTCCTGACTCTCATTGATCTTTTATTATTTATTTATCAGTACAATACTCGGTGTTGTCACCGACTGTGTTGGCCCCCCATCACCATGGCCCGCCCATGCGGGTTAGGTCGGGAAGGTGAGATGGCTCTCCGCCCTCCGGCGTCTCCAGTCCGAGACTTCGGCGAAACTAATAAATAATATCCAGCGGCTTCGCTCGGAGCACCATCAGCAGTCTACTATGTGTATGAATTCGCAGTGTCTGTACTTTTATGCGCAATTATTTTGCATTGCACCAGCGTGACCAGCCACCAGGGCCCAGGCCACCAGCAGCAGACTATTTGTATAAATACACACTGTCGATGATCTATAAAATATAAGAGTCTTGATTCTAACAACCAGGAAGTTAAAGCAGTGGTTGAAACTATGAATGTCTTTGTATGCAATTGGTCTTGCACAGCGCCCGCAATAGACTATGTGTACATATCAAATCGCACTCTTCGATATTTAATTGAAATATCAATAAAGGATATGAAATTAAAGCCGGTGTACTGATGGTTCAGTTTGCAAACAGTCTTGTTTACCACCTACCGATACTTTGTACACATTGAGAAGGCCAATGCCCGAAACGCTGTATTTCTATAGGGCTCATCTTATGCTGCGCGATAAGCATGATGGCGCGCATTCTCTTCCACTCAGACATACGAGTGTGAATAATATAAACAATACATCGATTGTGTAGGTTCATTAAATACACACCGATGATTCTTTTAGTCTTGATCTTTTAATGTGAAATATGCGCCGAAGAAAACGTCGAGATGTATCCATCACAACCACAGACGTTCGACTTTATTGTAATCGGGTCTCACGAATGCGAATGTATATCATGAAGGACACTTCTAACGTGTCACTAAAGATTATAGGCAGCGATTCTTTAGAAGTGTTGTTATGGGTCTCATGGAGCATATGTACACACAAGGTGGGTGTTTCTCTAAAGATGTCCGTGGCAGTAGACAAGAGAACGTTATAACACTATAACCTCGCTTTGACTACCTGTTCAATCCTCTGCATTTGTCACAACACCAGTACATATATAACATATCAGCGTATATGATTGATTTGGCGAACGACGTCAGAAGATACTGATGAACCTTTCACAAACCATGTACAAAACAACGAACACACAAAATTCTAGTGCGCTATATATATATACATATATATATCACCATACCTCCGCAATTTATAGTATAACGCAAAGAACATCAATGGCAGTGGTATGCTGAGAATGCCATGTGAATGTATGAGCAGAGCAGACATTAAGCTGTGCTTCCAGTCAGTAGGTCGCAATTTCCTCATGTGATATCAGTTCCAAAGTTTCGTTCTCGAAGTGTTGACTACTTCTGCGTATTATTCACAATTTTTAGCGTAGCCCCAATGCTTCATAGCCTTCTTGAAACGGTATAATCTCTCTCACTCATTGAGAGAGTAAGAGAAAACACAAACATTTCGTCTCATATGTTGCTGTCACGAAAGTGCTATTCATTTGTATGCATCAAAGATTTAGTCGCATGTGGCATATATTAATGAAGCAATTTGCATCCTATCAGTATTTCGAAGCCTCAGCGCTAGTTGACTTTAATGTCTATGTAACAATACAGAGTAATATATATTTTCAAAATTAATTATGCATTTATATACATCCCAAGATGTACTTCCAGACCATAGTGTTAGTCAATTTCGATGTCTATGTAGCAATGCAGAGTTACATACGTGTTTCAATATGTATATCAAACTTGGTTTTTCATTTATATACATCCTTCCTAAGATGTGTTTTTAAACCATGATGTCAGATTGCTTGATATCTATATATGGTGCCTAAATAGCTACACATATTTCATTACAATGTTATATTTCTCTAAACCGCAGTGCCAGTTTGCTTGATATCTATGTATGATGTCTAAACAACTACACATGTTTCATTACAATGTTATATATTTCTAAACAGTAGTGCCAGCTTGCTTGTTATCTAATACCAGCAGTCTAGTTTGTCACGTACCTCACTTTATGAGTGTCCCTTGCATTTCTAGCCAAGGCTTTATTTCCTATCGTAGTGCTAGTTCACCTAGATGTCTATGTAGCGTTCCAAGTCACGCCTGTCTTTAATTTTGGTGCATATTCAGACAGTCCTATTCGCCTACATGCACCTGAGCTTTTATTTCCAAGCCATCGGGGGGCATCCAATAAATACATGTATATATATCTAGTGCTAGTTCACCTTGATGTCTATGTAACGTTCTAAGTCAGCATTCAGAGCCAACACCATCGCTCGCGGGGTCGGTAGGCGATCGCTCACCGCAACAGCACACACCACACACTCGCACATCGGTACGTCTTCAGGTGCACATCGGCACATACACACCACCCCACGCCCCTCCTTATCTGATCCAATACCCACATCCCCATGAGTACATCTCGGACTACTGCCACATTCAGGTATCCGTACGCTTGCACAGGTACACTCAGACACGCTGAACCCACATCCGCATGATTGTCCCGTCGCAAAGACACACTCAGCTTCACATCCCTCGGCGTAGGTACAACCAGCAGCTGGGCCTGTGCTTCCGGCACATACGGCCGTGTCTAGTCTACCCCCCATTGGAGTACACCTCCTTGCACCCCCACGCACCCTCGCGCGTGTGGGCTCAGTTGCATGCTGTAAGCTACATGTATGAATACCATCACCAACACATATCGGTGGGTTGTTCTTGTGCATGTCTTGTCCACGCCCCTCTGCCTCTCTCGTTGAGCTGCGGTTGTAGGTCACTTCGCCTACCTCTCCTATCTGTGCACTGTTAGTATCACATACAACGGTACGGTCACTGTGTGTATCATATACAGCGGTACCCTCACTGTGTGGGGTGGTGCTGCCAATCCTTGACTCTCGCGCTCCTCCGACGCCCGCACGCTTAGTGTCGCCAGTACACGCCACCCACCCAGGCGTTTCATGTGTGGCATGCCCATCACACGGTGTGTGCTTAGGTGTATGTGCATGGCCCATACCTACCGCGCTGGTGGCCCTGCACACTGGCTTCACCACACGGCGTAACCATGGCAACAGACGCTCTTGGTACGTGGCCGGGTTGGGGCAGAGGATCGCTTCCCAGTCAAGCTGCGTTTGGAATGGTGGAGAGGCGGTGATTTCTAAACCAACAGCCAATACGATCGCGTGTAATGCGATAAAGCCCACGGCCGCACCACCCCGCGTGAGTGGCATGAAGTTGTACCAGTAGAACACTATGTCCAATGCTAGCGGAAGGATTGTCTCCATCTGATTGGACGAAGGTCAAAAGGTTAAAAGGATATGTTGAGTGGCATGCAGTCGTACTAGTAGAACACAACGTCCAATGCTAGCGAAATGATTGTCTACATCTGATTGGGTGAGGATATATATATATATATATATATATATATATGGTGTGTGAGTATGTGTATGTGTGT